ATATATTAATATAAATTATATTATAAATTTAATTAGAAATCAAATTTTGTAACTTTCATCTATTTCATTTATATATACCATAACGTAGAATTATTTTTAACAGTAACTTTATCAAAGAATATTGAACGAGCACTTTTTCAATTTTCCATAAATCACGTGTTTCGTCTACCCCATCTATTTCTTTTGTATATTTTTTTATAAATTCTATGTACACCTATTACACGATTCGAGTCCATCGCTTTGACATTCTGTAAATTTCTCTCAGAGAAAGATAAAGAGAGAGTGCAGTGAAAACGCATGGCTTTTCATGAGAAAATTCGATTTCGAGTGCTTGTCATCTGACGTTCAATGTTACTCGAACGTGTTCACCATTCCTCGTACTGCTTGAAAAATAGAGAATATACACGTATCGAAGAACGAGTTTAATAAGTTTGTGAAAATCACATCTGCGTGTAACCAAAAATGGAAATACCATGAGAGAAAGAAATGATACACACATATATGTGAATAGAATAGAGATGAACGTATGCTTGAAAACAAAACAAAAAAAATCCAAATTCTTAATCCTGGTATCCAAAAAGATGCGTTTATGCATTCGTAATGTTCGTCATTTGGAATCTAGCTGGCATATTGAAACACTCGAAAGAAAGACAGAAAATATACAAAAAAACAAAACAAGAAAAAAAAATATATATATGTTAAAAAGAATAAAAAGTGGATGAAAGAGAAGAAGTCCAGACTGAAAACATGGTTTCTCGTTTGCAATAAAGCCTCGCAAACATCATGAATACGCGTATAAATGTGTATATGTGTGTGTGTATATATACATAGGAGGATATGCATGCATGCATGCATGCATGCATGCATATCTATTTTCTCATACGCCAAGTATTTCCGTGTACGTCCCATAAGTATCCATAGCTAAAAGTTATAGACTTCCAGATGGTTTTAGTAGAATGTATCCGCGTTTTGGATCGCACCGCGAATATTTCAAAGCGACGTTTTAAATCCCGTATATGTATTCGGCTAAATTTAAATTCCACGGTAATCCGATATATATTCCTAAACGCAAACGAATCCGTAACGAAAAAATCTTTACGTGAAGTTCTATGTATTACGTGTGTATAATACACACATACATATACACACACATGAGAACGATGATGTTTCCACGATCGATCGAATTAAACAAATTTCAAATGTATGTACATACACACACGTATGTACACTTTGATAAATATTCTCTTATCCTTTTTTTATTTTCTTTTTTTATTTTATACCTAATATGAAAATCTTTTTCAAGACAAATATTTTATTCTTTTTTGTGAAGAAAAATAATAAACGAGGTAATAACATTTAAGTGAAAACATGTTTGCTGAAACGTAGCAGGTATGTATGTCTATTTGCAATCGTGCAAATAGATCAAACGTAGTGTCGAGATAGAGATAGAGATAGAGAAAGAAAGAGATAGAGTAACGATGGGATGGTGACTGGAGTCACAGAACATCTCAATTACCTTTAACCTGTTTTCGACATAGGGGACACCAGTGGCTCGTAACAATGAGCTGACTGCTGCTGTTACAGTTCCATGGTATCTGACTAGCAGTTATATACCCTCGTGATTAGGCTCTCTTATGTGTGGCTGGACACACTCTGGTAAACAACTATACCAATGACGACTACACGTTTCTCTCTTACTCTATTCCTACACTTATATTCTCTTTCTCTCTCTCTCTCTCTCTCTCTTTAATAATTAGAAATAGAGACCAAGATATATATACCTACATCCCTTTACGTGTCCTATGTATGTCAATGATCCAGGCGTTGCTTTATGGTTACAAATACGTGACGTACCATGTACATCATCTTATATGAATGTTCAATCTCGAAATACATGGTAGGTCGAGCGCGAAGGTAACACGAACCATCGTGTGTCATTACTCTGTTGCAAACCTCTACCTAATATAGCTAAATAGAGAGAGAGAGAGAGAATGAGAATGAATCTGTGCCCGTCATTGTCGCGAATATTAACCCTTTGCACTTCTCTGTACCCCATTATCATGCTTCGTTACAACTTACTTGGCATTATAATGCTACGATATATATAAAGTATACTTTGTTTATTAAAAATATAATAATAAAATTATTTTGTTCAAATTATTATCCATTGGATAATAATATTATATTATATTAATGAAATATATTTTGTAGGAATTGGAAATATGGATTAGTTTTGATTTGATAATAATTCGAAATAAACTTACCCCCCTCACTAAATTTTATTCATTTAGAAAATTTTCTGGAACATCATCGATCCGATCCTCGGACTGCTTCTGTTGCTGCTGCAATCAAAAAGAAATAATATTACGATTAGAAAATGTGTGTTGTTTAATATAAATAAATAAAGATATTTAGAAATAAATATTATATTTATTTTTTTATTCATTATCATTTCTATAAACATTCAAACACATCGAGAGTTTTAATGCAAAATGTAATGTAAAATGTGTCCCAATTAATTAATGTATATAATATTTTGGATAAAATGTATCGTTTATTCGAAATAACGCATGAAATCAAAAAAAATATCGGATAAAATGTTAGCCGAGAATTATTTAACTTTTGTACAATTCACATTTGTATAGAAATGTTCGTCTACATTTTCGCATAATTGCGACTGGAATTCGACAATAACGACGTTCAATTTTATTATTGATTTATTCGAATGATTCTGGTTGAATGAGAGAACATTTCTAAGAGAAAAAATGTGTCGTGAGAGATATTTCACAACGATAATGTTTTAATTCATTCGCGTAACGTTTCATGACGATTAATTGCACATTTCAAATTGTAATCGTCAACTGTTAAACAAAATACAAAAAATCGAGGGTAATTTAAATCGCGCATTCTTATTGGAACAATAATCTCTTTTATACTTTTATTTTTTTTCATTCGTGGAAAAATGATTTATATTTTTTTAATATACAAACTCGACACATTCGTATTCGTCACGAGAAAAAAAGAAATGTTGTTGTTTTTCTTAATGAGAAGATATCACAAGGAACTTGGAGATAAAAAAGAAGTAGAACTTAATTTAACCTAAGTTGAACGTTTCGTTCCTTTATTGGGACTTCTTCAGCAACTTAATCTTTATAGTTCAGCGTCATTTTTTCATTGAGTAGACATACATTTCTACTTTTATTTTTAATATTCATAAAAACAAAACATTTAAGGGGTTACAT